TGTACCAGGTCCAGTGATGTGGGTCAGAGCACTGATACCAAGAGCCAGAAATCCTCAATTTCTGGGACCTAGCAAAGTCACGGATAAGGAGGCTGTTCTCACTGCCAGCATCAGCTCCTGAGCCATGAGGACCAACAGACATCTCAAGGCCAGCTCGATCGCAGCCAGATACTGTATTGAAGTCACCCAGAACAATATGAATATCTCGCCGATAGCAGCTGTCTGTCCCAGATGCCAGTTTGGGGCAAAGAATCTCTTTCACATTAAGTTTTTAAATATCAATAGTAGTGTATACAACGATAAAAGAAATGAAGCCAAATGTAGGCGTCAGTCTCAATACCATTATATGCTCATTGACTGGAGTGACCTCTACTACTGAGAGCTGAAGTCTGCTGGAGATGGTGGCCATTGCTGCAGTCCGACCAATAATAGGTGTAGCCACCCACACTAATTGTGTTGTTGTCAGCTGCTTCAGCTCCCTCGACAGTAGTGGTAACTAATCATCCTGTCGCAAAGAGCAAAAGTTCCAAGCCCCCACCCTGGCAGCCTGCCTGAGATTAAACCTCAGGCAGCCACTCCGGGTAGACGCCACCTCTGCCACTCTCACCGATGCTGTTCCATATAGCGAGGACTGGCTGGCTGCAGGTCCCATAATCCACCTGTTGGAGTTCAGTGGGCTTTGCCCCACAAGCCTCACGCCAGGTTGGCAGCCGCCGGGATGCAGACAGGACAGATAACCCAGCGGTCGCCAACTCAGTGGGACCCACAGCCTGCCTTACTTGCTTGGAAAGAGGGATGATTACTGTCCTCATTCTTCTATACAGTCTGTTGCCAGCAGGTTTTCTTAGGAGGCTGACTGGTAAGGCCAACCTCCCCACAGCCACCCATTAACTCCATGGGGCAAAGGGGCAGGAGTTAGTACAAAGCCGGGGAATGTCCACACGCTGGTGGGCCATGACTTCATACCTTTAGGGCCTCCTGCTACTCTAAGAGCCTCCCACAGTTCAGCCTAGAACCGCAAGGTACCTAGTTTCCATGGATGGCCATGAGGAGGCTCTGCAGAAGTCTTAATGATAGAGGGGCTATGAGCTGGCAGGGGAGACTTGTGTACAGCTGTCCACTTTTTGTACCAGGCTAGCCAGCGGTGGAAGCTGCAAGCGAGAAGGCATGCAAAGCACTTAACACTATCTTGGCTACCACAAAATCGCTTCACATCATCCTGAACTTGAAGAACCCACCCATATTATATAATATATATATATATGTATATGTGTGTGTGTGTCACTCTCTCTCTCTCTCTCTCTCTCTCTCTCTCTCTCTCTCTCTCTCTCTATATATATATATATATATATATATATATATATATATGTGTGTATATATATATATATATATATATATATATATATATATATGCATGTATGTATGTATACACAAACGCACACACACAAACACACACACACACACTAATATAATAATTGCGAGTATATATATATATATATATATATATATATATATATATATATATATATACATACATACATTTGTGTGTGTGTGTGTGTACATATACATAAATACATATGTGGTTATGTGTATGTGTGTGTGTGTGTGTGAGTACATATACATAAATACATATGTGGTTATGTGTATGTGTGTGTGTGTGTGTGTGTGTGTATATGTAATATATATATAATATATATGTTATATTATGTATATATATATAATATATATGTATATATATATGTATATATATATATATATATATATATATATATATATATATATATATATATATGTAATGCACACATATGTTTATATGTTTGAATTTTAGCCAGTATTTCATTGTGTTGGCGGAATTAGGGGCCCTGTCTGGAACCGCTGTATTTTAATGAGCGAAAGCTGGCGTGGAAAGAGTCTAGTGGGAGAGAGGAAGAACACTGCAGCAGCGGCAGCGGCATCGGCACTGCCACACCTCTGCACTTGTCCTCTGCGCCGCCAGTGCAAAGTGCGGCGCGGTCCTAGGCAGGAGCAGGAGGCCCAGACATCCTTCAGCCTGAAACTCGTGAGTGCTCCGCCTCGGCAGCGTGGCATGCTCTGCGCCGGACGGTGGCCCACGTGCGGCAAGGTGAGGCGCCTGGCGGGAGGGTGTTGCAGGAGGGCTGTGCGTTAGGGCGCGGCGACTTTCTCTCGTCAAGTAAGGAGCTTTGATATACTTAGGGATTAATCGACAGCGCGACACTGGCTTCACGTCAATGGCTGATGATGTTTAGATGACTTTCTTTTTTACCATGAGAACTCGCATACGATTCATCACTATTTCACGTCTTTGGCCCGGAAAGCGTTTTTTCTCTCGTTTCTGCCTTAAAATGGGAATCAAAAGGTACATTGGAACAGACGGACTGGAATGGAGTCCTATGGAAGAGTGAGCACGCGGAGTGCCGCGCTCAATCGATAACTGCCGCCGCCCTCTTCGCCCACTGTTGCCGGACGTATATTTGTATTTTTATGTTTTTTTTTTTTTTTTTTTCTTTGGCATTAGGTAATTCCACTGGTAAAAAAAATACAATGCTTGGTGTTATAGACATTGTCTTTGATATTAGGAAAATATAATTTATGCAGTTGAACGACACGTTTATTAAGATTGTAGTTTATTATATGATTTTATGGCTATTGCAGTTTTGACCACGGGCATGCGTATTGTATAATCATCACTTGCAGATATGCGGTTAAGGATAGGTAATCATCTTGTTTATTAATTAATTAGAGTATTTATTTTTAACCATTATATGCGCAAGGAAAAATCTATTGTCACATATTTCTCTTATAGCGTATATTTTGTACCTTACATTATCTATCATGGCAATTGACATGATATTGTGATATATCAACATCTTGTCACTATTGTCACAACCAAGGTGTTGTGGCAATGAGAATGGAAGGGGGTTGCCAGGTTTGTAATTTTCGGGTGCAAGGTAGAGGCGAGGGCAGTTGTAGTA